TAACCATACACACGTATGTGGTAATGACAATCGAAATGGTTTCGGAATAAAAACAACTGCATTTTTAAAAGAAGGTTGGGGTTGGGGCGCCTGGGTGGCTCAGTAGGTTAAGCGTCTGACTCTTGATTTCAGTGCAGGTCATGATCTCACGGTTTGTGGGACTGAGCCCCTGTTTGGGTTCTGTGCTGGGTAAAGAGCCTACTTGGGATTCTCTCTCCGTCCCTCCCCTGCTCTCTCTCTCTCTTTCAAAATAAATAAATGTTTAAAAAAAAATAAAAGAAGGTTGTGGCATTTGACAATGTGGGTATAGTACAACAATGTTGAAAATATATGCATTGATAACTGTACATATTTGTATTTGCTTCAAGGTAAAAGACGTGGAATTCAGCAGTGTGCTGATAAATTTAACAGTGATGCTCTCGCTCGAATACTATTATAAACCTGCTCAATACTCACTTGGGGCCATGATATTTAACCTAGTTCACAAATGTAGATAGAGTCAAGATGGGTCTCCTTACAGTCCCATCATTAAAATGTTCTTGGACTTTTCAGTATAAATGTTCTGTCTCCTTCCCTTCCTCTCCACCTTCTTTTTTCATCTCTGTCTCTCTCATGCATGCACATATGCACACACACATTTTCACATGATATTTTATTCACCTCTTTGGACTAAAATGACATGAAACATCTTGGCACATAGAACTAAATGTAAGAAGAACTCACTGTCCATTTGGCACTTAGAAAAATGTCGTAGAAAGAGTACCGGACTGGGTTTGAGCAAGTACCCGCCACGTGCCTCGAACTCTGCCAGGTACTTTGAACCTATCATTTCAATTAATCCCCATGCATCAACCCTATTTTACAGAGGAGGAATCTGAGGTCCTAGCTTGGCCATTAGCCATCATTCACTCCTAGTCTCTGGGCCTTACCTTATGTTCCACACAGTGGCTGGATTCGTTCCCAAAGGAGTATCAGAATCAATCGAGACACTTTTTTTTTTAATTAATTTTTATGTAATGTCTACCCCCAACATGGGGCTCAAACTTACAACCCTGAGATCAAGGGTCACATGCTCTACAGACTGAGCCAGCCAAGCGCCCCTGGGCACTTTTAAAATGACAAATTCTGGGATGCCTGGGTGGCTCAGTTAGTTAAGCATCTGATTTTGACTCAGGTCATGATCTCACGGTTTGTGAGTTCAAGCCCCGCATCAGGCTCTGTGCTGACAGCTCGGAGTCTGAACCCTGCTTCGTATTCGATGTCTCCCTCTCTCTCTCTGCCCCTCCCCCACTCACACTGTCTCTCTCTTTCTCAAAAATAAGTAAACATTAAAAAAATTTAATAGAATAAAATGACAGCTTCTATGATGAATTCTCCAGCCTCTCCACAGACCTATGGCATCAGAGAATCCCCTGAGGTAGACTCCAGGAATCTAACAAGTTGCCCAGGCAATAGTGATGTTGAGCCAAGTTTGGGAACCAGATGTTTACCATCTCTAGAAGGGGTTCCAGGGAGAACACCCCAAACATTCAATCCCATGCCTCCACTTGGTATTTGGAGGAGACAAAAACTATTTTAGGGAAAACTAAAGCACTAACAGGCCATACTTAAAAATATTCAACAGTGCTCTGTTCACTTAGAAGCCCACAATGTCCTCTGTAATCAAGGGTAGATGGCAGCCACCAAAGCAACTGAGCAAAGTCCCTGTATGGCGGGCCTCACGGCACGGCTGAGAACGAGCTAAAAAGGTTGACCCAACAGAGCCCAGGAAGAGCCTATTTTCAAAGAGGTCTCTCACCATAGCCTAACCTCAAACAGGACAGACTGGCAGGATTTCACATTTTATCACAACAGGAAGGTGAGGGCGCTACAGCAGAACCTCGTTAACGCTCTCGTTTTAAATCGGCTTTTGCTTTGGGGCATTCTGCGGGTTTGTTAACAGGAATCGAGTTCCGCAGTCTACCCAGCCCTTACTTCCCCTCATCCCCCCCTCCCCCCAAAGGGCCCAGCCCCTTTCTGGCCGGAACAGAGTATGGGCTGGATCACACCTGGCCAATGATTCCCCCTCCCCCACCATTTGGGATATATTACTTAGAGCTGGTGGTCATAAAACTGTAACAAGGCAGAGTTTACATATGCTTGCTGCTCTAGTTCAGGCATTCCCTGGGGAAGGCAGACTTCACGCTCTCGTAACCAGCTGGGAGCTGGGAACAATCAGGCCCTTAATGGCCAAAACAGAAAGGGACTGCATCACTGAGCACCTCTTGACAGCCAAGCCCTTTCTTCCTGAATGATAATGACATGAAGTGTACTCCCCCAGCATGCACATGCATTTGTGTGTGTGCATGTGTGTGTGCACACGCGTGTGCACGCGCGCGCGCGCGCGCACACACACACACTTGCACATGTGCACCTGAAATACAGCAGGTTTGGCACTCTGAAATAACTATTCGATGTAAGTTCACGATGCCTTTGCAAAATCCTAATGGAGTTTGTAGAATGAGAGTTTGGAGGGTCTAATGGGAGACAGACTGGCATGGTAGAAATAGGAGCTCTAGCAGCAGCAGACCTAGGATTCTAGGCCCTCTGGCTCTTCAGTTAATTACAGAACTTTGGGCCAGCCTCCCTGAACTTTATTTCTTCACTTGCAAATCAATGGGATTGGACCAGCTGATCTCTCATGGCCCTTCCACCACTCACATTATGGTGAAATGCTCACTGTGGTGAAATTTATTCAGTTACACATCTGTCCCTCAACTAGACTGACCTTTTCAAGACTTAAGAACTATGTTGGGTGACTGTGAATACCCAGCAACTGGCAAAGTGCCATGAACAAAGGGGATGCTTAATAAATGTTTACTAAATAAACTTTCATCCTAGAACCCAATCAAAACAATGCACTTTACACCTTACTAGTTCACCACCCCATTTTTTTGTGTATAAAAGCGCTAGAGAAGAGACCGATATCAGAGTCAACTTGTACACATTCCCATACCCTGTCTTTAATATCGTCTCCTCATTTTTCCTCTTATTAAAGACATTTCCACACCCTGCCCCCTTGCTTTGCGCCTGACACCCAGTGGGCCCTCAATCACTATTAGGCGGGTGAGTTTGCAAACACATCCACTTGTCATGTTTCCAGTTCTGTAAGATTTACTTTTGCATAAGGCCCCAGAATCTGGCCTCGAATTATAAAGCAGTCAAGGGAATAATTAGCCACTGAAGAACACTATCGTTAGATAGGGCATTTCTGTTCATTTTACTCTAAAATATTTTCTCAGTAAATGTGTTTTAAACGGCTAACATTGTGAATGGGGCAATTAGAGCAGCGCCGTGAGTAGCCATGCTGTGGCTTGCATCATTTCCGTCCTCCTTCTTAGTGTCATTCACCAAAGAAGCCAATTACCCCATCACTTTGTATTTCCTGAGTTTAAAGATGGACCAAATGGCCCAGACTGCCCTCCACATGCTGGGTAACCAAACCAATGGGTCAAAGTACACGGCAGTTGCACTGCATAGAAGCTACATACATGTGTCAACCAAGCCAGCCAAACCTGGGTTTGAATCCCAGTTCCTCCACCTCCTCAACTTACAGCTTTGAGATCCTAGGCAAGGTATTTAACCTTTTTTTTTTTTAAGTTTATTTATTTACTCTGAGAGAGAGAGAGAGAGAGAGACAGTGAGAGAGAGAGAGAGAGAGAGAGAGAGAAAGCGAGCAAAGGAGAGGCAGAGAGAAAAAGAGAGAGAATCCCAGGCAGGCTCCATGCTGCCAGCGCAGAGCCCAAGGTGAGGCTTGAACTCATAAACCATGCCATCATGACCTGAGCCGAGATCAAGAGTCAGACATTTAACCAACTGAGCCATCCAGGTGCCCCAAGATATTTAACCTCTTTAAGCTTCATTTTCCCGAGTAAAATGGCAACGATATTAGGACCTATCTTGTGGATTACTGTGAAACGGTATTAGGGGACCTGGCCAGCAGAGCACCTGGAATGTAGTGGGAGTTCTACAGTGCTAGCGTATTACTGGATTTTGCCACCTCCTTCTACAAAGCTGGCAGCATTCAGGACTCGGTCACAACCACCTTATGGGATGTGCTGGTAGCTCTTGGCTCTATGTTCTGCTCTATGTTGAAAAGTGGGTGCCGCCTGTGGTTCTGAATGTGTGCACTCTAGCCTGGCAGGTACAATGTAGTTGAAACCAAGCCAAACTGCTGCCCCACTTACAGAACTGTCCCACTGCCATCACAAAGCCCATCCCAAGAGGGTTAGACTGGTATAACTAAGGTTATGGACACAACTGCTAGAAAATAGGGATGTGTTGCCTCACTTATGTTCTCGCGTAGGTTTAATTAGTGGGCTCTGGCTTGGGCCTCTTGTGCTCAAAGTCACTACTCAAAAGGGTCATGTGATATACACGATTAAGAGCCTGAGAGTGAAATCAGAATCAGAAAAATTGGTAATAACCTCATCAAAGGGAAACCCGATCAGTTTCTAAATCACAGCTCTTCCACTAACTATAGCTGGGTGCCCTTGGGTAAGTTATAGTTTCACTGAGCTTCAGTTTCCCCATTTGTGCAATGGAGATAATTGTGCCTACCTCCCAGGGTTGTCATGAGGATTATAAGGACTAACAACAATGGGAATAATAGCTAATATTTACTGAAGACTTACCACATACCACGCACGTGCTAAATGCTTTAACATATGGTATTCCCTATGAAGAAGATATCCTTTTTAACCTCAGTTTATGAATCATCAATACGAGGCTCATAAAGATAAGAGGATTCACCCAAGTTCCCATAGCAAGCAAGCAGATGGAGGTAAAATGCAAAGCCAGGCATTATGACTCCGTAGCCTGTGAGATCATTTAGCCCCTCGATCATCTCTGCCTACCCCCCGGATCCTCCCCTCACGTGTCTCCATCAGCACCTGCTGCTGGCCCGGCCGCCACACCCTAATAGGACCCAATTCCTCAGAAAACTGTAGACTGGTACTCACAGTGGTGGTCAGCTTTCCTCCATTCTTCTGGACATACTGGATGGAATCATGGATCGTCGAAAAGAGACCAAGTAGCACATTCTCCATGTCGTAGATCCTGTACATGCCATTCACCAGTTCTTCCAGAGACAGAATGTACTCTCTCCAGTACTTGTCGATCTCCACCACGCCTGCCATACAGCCTTGCATGACCACATTGCAGTAGCCACCACAAGGCTTAACCATCATCAGTCCCTGGCAGTAAGAGCAGTACCACATTCTGGTGAGCATTCGGCCACAGTCTTTACTGAACTTGAGGTGATCGGTTGTGTTGATCACCTCAATTCCGAGATTCAGGGCCTGGAGGAAGATCCTGGTGACCTGCAGCGACTTGGAAACCTGGGTCATAATAAGCTTGGGGAAATTCCCAAAGACTTTCAGGTCACGCCTTGCCCCTCGGAGGCACTCATTGATGTCCAAGGTCGACTCAGGCAGGCCAGGGCTCATAAGCTGAGTATAGATGACTGGAAACAGGCTGTCAAACAAATCATTGACCATGTCATCCACATTGATGTCAGAACCCAGGATATAGAGAGACACGTCGGTGAAAAATTCGCCCACAAACTCAAAAGCTTGTGGGGTCAGGCTCGGATAGTTGTTCTTAAACATGGCGTTGGTGTAATTCTTGGCATGGCGAACAACAATTTCAAAGGCCTCTGTAAAAGAAGAGATATAGAAATGCCCACAAATTAAAGCATGAAAACCCAGGGTGTAATTGAATTTGAGATTTCTCTATTGCTGTGGTGATTAAAGTCCCATTTGCCTTAAGTAATTGACTCATATTCATTTCTGGCACTGCCGCTCCTCCTGCGGCTGTCTACTCCTATAAATCAATTTTCCTTTCTGAACATGAAGTCCAAACTCTGATGTGCACATAAATCCTTAAACACACAAATTGTATTTCAAATGACAAAAGCCAGGATTCGGTTAACATTTCGGCTTCTCATGAAAATATTGATTAAAAATTGGCTAAATGAGAAGTTATTTCTCTTTCTCTCATTGATTTATTCAGTTACAAAGAAAATGTATTTCAAGACATTTCATTTTTAGGCAGAGACAAATATTTGACAACAAACCATATACTTTATAAGCTCCCATAACAATTTAAGCCTGTTCAGCCCTGGAGGAACAGCAAGTTCTTAGCCAAGAATAAAAGCTACCAAGAATTTAATCATTTTGGGTAGATTTTCTCCGGGTAACTCTATTTATTTATTTTTAAAATTTTTTAATGTTTTATTTATTTCTGAGAGAGAGAGAGAGAAAGAGAGAGAGTCAGCATGAGCAGGGGAGGGTCAGAGAGAGACGGAGATACAGAATCTGAAACAGGCTCCAGGCTCTGAGCTAGCTGTCAGCACAGAGCCCGACGCGGGGCTCAAACCCACAAACCGAGAGATCATGACCTGAGCTGAAGTCGGATGCTTAACCGACTAAACCACCCAGGCGTCTCTCCAGGTAACTTTAAAGGGAGCTATCTGACAGATCGCCAGAACTGGAAATGGAATTTATCCCCAAAATGGGTATCTGCATGGAAAAAAAAAAAAAAAAACACAATCCATGCAAAATGGGTATCTGCATGGGAGAAAACAAAACAATCTATACACTTATCTATGCATTTGATATTGCAAATAACGCCTCTAGTACTTGCAAGCTGAACATCTGGAAGGATAAGTGCTAAGCTTCCTTGGTAAAGTTTGGCTTCCACATGGCTTGGAATCCTTATCTGCTCTATGAAGCCTATGAATTCAGGATTACATATGCTGCCCCTACCCCTTGGCATATGGCCCAATTAGTGTCATTGGTTTTGAGAAAGAATGTGGTAAAGTCACCATCTCATTTTCTCCAAACTGAAACATGCCAGACACAGATTATCTCAAATAATCAGAGTTCCACATCTATATGAGGGAAGGGATAACAACCGTAATGACAGGTCTTGCACGAAGTCAGACAGAGTTTAAAAACGAAAATAACCAAGTTTCCTGAGACATTTAAAATTAACTTACTACTTTCTTTCATTCCCTTCCAAAGTGCAAAGGTCCATGACAGATGTAGTCTAAATGATGCCAATTCATGAGCCTTGAAAGATCAAAGCATTGCTACTTTCAGACTACTAGGGAGACTGTACTCCACCCGCTCCTTGGGATCACTTAGTCCAACACCTCGGTCATATGCGGCAGAAGTGAGCTCCCGGTTGTGCCACACCATATGCCCCAGATGCCTCACAAGGCAGAACACGCTTGCTAGATTCTTCCCTTGGGCTCATGACATGCCCAGCCATGGTGAGCAGATGCCTGTGTAATTCTCCTGGGCTTCCAAGCCCACTTGAGAAAGCTAATCTTCATTTCTATCAACTGCTCATTTGCTTGTTTTGGTTTGTTTTGTTTGGAACGTTAAGCAATTCCTGGAAAGGTTATCTATTTTATAGCAATTTCTTTCTAACCGCACACGCTACTTTTTTCCTCAATCCTTGAGGCTGAATGAGGCCAAAAGATTATCTGGCCCAATACAAAGGACCAGTGAGCGAATTCTTTGAAATCATCAGAAATTTGGAGATTTAAAACTCTCCATTCATTTTAATTTTATCTCCCAATCATTTATTATATTCTAGGCTCTGAGCTAGGTGCCAGGAGTACGTAAGTGTTGGGTAGCTGGAAACAAATGATATACCATCCTTGCCTGATAAAGTACTCACAAGCTGTATGGCTTGGTGCTTATAAAGCATTTCCAAGAATATTATTCTATCTACATTTTACAAAACTCTTCTGAACTTGATATTATGGTTTCCATTTTATAGATGATGGAATTGACAATCAGCAGAATGCAAGCACTTCCCTAGGGACACAGAGCCACAAAGTCATGGTCAGCTCAGACTAGTGCCTCTCAGCACTGGTTACACTCAAGCTGCCCTCAGCCCTACAGCCAACACACATCTCGCAAACCTTTGTAGAAAGTTAACTTCTCTCTTAAGCTCATTATTTTCCCACTGGCTTCTCCTCTCCAGACAGAAACGTATTCAAAGGAATTGCAGCCCAGAGACCAACAAAGCAGAGTGGAGCTTTCACCTTTGCCTTGGGGCAGCACGAGGCAAGGCGGGGTGGGGGGGGCCCACAACCTAAAATGAATTCTGTACAAGCCAAATGTCGTCTCTAGCACAGCGCATGTGTTCTCTAATGTGTGAGAGGTAGGGCAGTGAGATTCCATAGACTGTACCACCAGAACCTTGGTTGGTTGTTTTTTTTAAAGTTGCTGTTACTAGTAGTGCTGCTGGATCAATAGAAAAAGAAAATTACAAAGGATCGTGAACTCTTCTGCAGAAAGGATAACAGCAATGCATATTGCAGGGGGAAAGGGCTCGGGGTTCACATCTAACCTCCAGCTCACATGTGCTCCCTGTTCTAACTTTCACAGCTCAGAATCCACTTAGCACGTCTCTGGGTTGTGCCCAGCCCCCTTACTTCTATATCACAGGGCAACAGACCAAACCATAACTGCTCAAGCGAAGGCTCCTTGGGGACTTATAGGAACCACCACGAGGTGAAAAGTGACGCTCAACTTGAGGCTGGCACCTGGAGGTTTCATGAAATAAGCCAAGGGCTAGAATTGCTGCAAGGAGGTTCAGCCCATTGATTTTTTTATTTTTTTTTAATGTTTTATTTATTCCTAGGAGAGAGAGAGAGAGAGACAGCGTGAGCAGGGGAGGGTCAGAGAGAGAGGGAGACACAGACTCTGAAACAGGCTCCAGGCTCTGAGCTGGCAGTCAGCACAGAGCCCGATGTGGGGCTCGAACCCACGAACTGCGAGATCATGACCTAAGCGAAAGTCGGACTCCTAACCGACTAAGCCACCCAGGCGCCCCAGCCCGTTGATTTTTTTTTTTTTGGCGGGGGGGGGGGGGAAGAGGGGTCAGATAATAATGCACACTTAAGCTATGGAGGATTTCCTCTGTCTCCTTCCTGGAAAGAAGCCAAGAGTCATGTCCAGGCAAAATTGGAACAATGTAAAAATCAGAGGTATAAAGAAACATTTGGCACTGGGCAAAAAATATTATTTGTTTTTACAATATATAAAAAGATAAATGATACAGATAAATAAATCCAATAAGCTAAGTTAGCACACATCCCAATATCGCAAGGTTTCTGGACTTGTAGCTGTGCCCATCATTATCCTGGTCAGCACTGTTTGGACACGCTCTAGTGTTGTTGACATCCTCCTGAAATTATGGTGCTCAAAATGGGACACAATTCTCCAGATGTGGCTTGATACTGAAGTTTGCCATCAGGCTATTATCTCTCTTTAAATTATTTAATAACTTCTTCACCTAACCACCCCCCACAAGCTCTGGACATATAGTCTATCGCTGTAGCAAAATGACCATCTTTACTTTTGGTAATGATGTTTCTGCATTCAGACCCACACAGAAAGAAATGTATTTCCACGGGCGTTTTCAGTAGAAGGCTGCATACGTTTAAAAAGGAGATTATAACGGTGGTTGTAAGAGAGGAACAAATGAACTGTTGAGTTCCCTTCAAGCCCTTAAGAATAGGGCAGCCCCAGGGCGCCTGGGTGGTTCAGTCAGATAAGTGTCATGATCTCTGGGTTCGGTTTATGAGTTCGAGCACAGAGTCAAGAACTCCTGCTTGGGATTCTCTCTCTTCCCCCTCCCTCTCTACCCCTCCCCCATACTCACATTCTTTCTGTCTCAAAATAAATAAATAAACTTAAAAATAAAAGAGAATATGGCAGCCTTTACAGAAGCAGGTTACTTTTTTCAAGGCAGTTTTTCCCACATTGTGAGAATGGCAAATACTTTATAGAAACACTTTATATTCATAGCATGAATGCCATGCAATAAGTTGGATTCAAAACCGTACTTGTTTTCAAGCATAGGTAGCATATTTTTATTTATTTATTTTTAAAATATAATTTATTGTCAAATTGGCTAACATACGGTATATACAGTACGCTCTTGGTTTTGGGGGTAGATTCCTATGGTTCATCACTTACATACAACACCCAGTGCTCGTCCCAACAAGTGCCCTCTTCGATGCCCATCACCCATTTTCCCCTCTCCCCCACACCCATCAACCAACCCTCAGTTTGTTCTCTGTATCTATGAGTCTCTTATGGTTTGCCTCCCTCCCTCTCTGTTTATAACTATTTTTTCCCCTTCCCTTCCCCCATGGTCTTCTGTTAAGTTTTTCAAGTTCCACATGTGAATGAAAACATATGGTATCTGTCTTTCTCCCACTGACTTATTTCACTCAGCATAATACCTTCCAGTTCCATCCATGTGGCTACAAATGGCCAGATTTCATTCTTTCTCATTGCCAAGTAGTATGCCATGGTATACATAAACCACATCTTCTTGATCCATTCATCAGTTGATGGGCATTTAGGCTCTTTCCATACTTCAGCTATTGTTGAAAGTGCTGCTATAAACTTTGGGGTACATGTGCCCCTGTGAATCAGCACTCCTGTATCCTTTGGATAAATTTCTAGTAGTTCTATTGCTGGGTTGTAGGGTAGTTCTATTTTTAATTTTTTGAGGAACCACCACACTGTTTTCCAGAGTGTCTGCAACAGTTTCAAGCATAGGCACTTTAGTAGAAAAAGGAAACTAACATTCCTGAGTAGCTGCAATGTACATGGCAGGGTCTGT